CCCCCCCCCCCGACACAGCACCTCCCCAGCTGCCTGCTCACACAGCCCTGGCTGCTCCCACCCGCTTTTTCTCTTTTTTGTTCTGGTTGTGTGGAGTTGGGTGGGACACGAGTGCAGCAGGCTTTGAAACTGCATTGCTTGGCACTTCTGTTTGGGAAGGAAGAGCAGCAGGGCCATGATGGAGGTGTGAGCTGTGATGGATGGGTGAGCTGGGGATGGGCTTGGTGTGCTGGCACAGCTCAATCTAGCACTGCCTCTGCCAGGTGGCCCTGCTGCCTACATGGGCTCCATGCCACTGAGGAGTGGGGACTGCACCCATGGCACAGAGAGAAGAGCCAATCACTGGAATCAGCAAGGAGCAAAGAGGCCCACAATGACAGTGCTCAAATTCATAGACTTTTATTTTTGAATCTTTACAGAACACGGCTGTGATTGTAATAAGGCATCGAATGCACTACTGAACAGCTCATGATGGACTGTGATCTTTCACCCCCTTGTGAGAGAGTCTTACAAAATTAAACCAGCTGCTTTCTCAGTCAGTAAACTCTATACTCATTGCAGACAGATTTTTAAAATAATTACAAAGACTAAAAAATTGTAAACACATAAAAACCCAGCAACAACCCAGTGTAGCTTCCTAGGAGAGTCTTGGGCGTTTCTGCCACGGGGCTGGCTTCAGGATGGCAGGAGCAGGCGAGGCTGGTGGGAGACACGCTGGGCACCCGCAGCGCGCGGGCTGGGATGGTGCGGTGACAGCCTCTGTCCTGGTGAGCATCCCCAGCAGATGTCATGCAGCTCCCAATGTCCAGCCTCAGCCACAGCCTCTGACCGAGAAAAGGGAACTGAGAACAGGGTGAGCAGGGAGCTGTCTGAGCAGCAGGGAGCCGGACGCTGGCAGCTGTCACCTCCCTTCCCGCAGTTCAGGGAAGCACGAACACACCCAGTGGGAAGGTAGAGACCAGGGCTGGGCCCAGCCGTCAGACATGTCATGAGGTAGAAACTGGGAAAGTGTCATATTTGGCAGCTGGGGCTGGTTAGAAATTAACTGACTAAGGGAACAAATCCTGTTCTGTTTCCAGGGTACTCGGAAATCATATTCAGAATCTGGATATTTAGAGGGCACCTAAAACCCACTCAGTATATGCCAAAATTTAGTTGCCCAAAAAAGGAGAAAGCTCTCTAATGAATCAAGTGACAACGTTAGCCCAAGCAGTGAAAAAAACCACCACCAATTCTTCTCCCCTTTGTACCTTTAAAGCATTTAAATTTCGAGCAGGGGAAGTCAAATTGCCAGGGTGCATGAGGGGGCAACAAACGTCCCTTGGCCTCGCCCTTTGGTACCATCTCATGTGAGGGGAATGCTGTGAAGGCCTCTCCACCGGCCAGTGAGCTCATACATTCATTTCCACCATCAGCCACCAGACAGCAAGCACTTTGGTTTCTGTCTGTGTTTGGTTTCACAGCACGAGAACCTGAAAGTCCAGAGGTTTTATATTGCACCACTAACTCACATCATGCTGCAATTTCTAAAGTGATCAGAGAAATGTCCCGAGCATTTTTATCTGTTACATTTCTGTGCTGTGAAGGCCTTCCTTCACCTCTTTCACAGCACACACTTACACAAAAATAAATAAACTCTGTTAGTCCTGTCGTTTAAATTTTATTACTCCTCACACTTCTGCAGTGTACATTTAGACTATTAGGTTGACTAATATTTCCTTAAAATGCTCAGGGAAAATCTCAGGGTTCATTAAAGTATTGCAGGTTCATGATCTGTGACAGGCATTTTAAAAAGTGTCAGAAAACTTCTCACTTGACAATAACATACTGACAGTCAGGGAAGCGCTCCTTTTTCTAGTGCTAATAATCAGCATTAAGGCATGTCATGGTTCCTGCAAGAAATCTGTGATCCGTACAGCTTAAGCTGACATCTTTCTGCAGTAATGGAATGTACTCCAATTTCATGCATAAGTATAATTAAAAAATAAAAATAATACCTCTCAAAACCACCAGCCTCAGTTTTAGAGCTTTGCCACATAGGTGAGAACACAGGGCCCAGGCAGACGAAAGGGTTTTCATCCCCCGAGATATCAGTACCCTGCCCTACACCACCTTGCTGACCCTAGCTCAGCAACATCTTCCCTCTTGCCTGGCATGGCTTCCCCTGGGAAGGCCAGCCTGTTCCCATCCTCAGGGCAGGATAAGAGGAAGCACTGTTCCCACCTCCCCACCCTGAGAAAAATGTCAAGCTCTGCAGGCTGTGTTCACATACCTCACCTGCCGGCCAAGGCCAGCAAAAGAGGAACTTTCCTGCTCTGCTGCCAGATTCTCAAGCTAGTTCCTTCCTCACTTGTACTGATCACAACAGGCTGAGGTAACTTCCAGATGTAAGACATTTCATATATTTATCCTAGAGATTCAATTAGGAATCTCTGATGACACAGCCAGAAGGATGTAAGCTCTTCAAAGACGACTGTGGAGATGCTGGTCACTGCTGAGTTACTGCCTGTGAAACATGCTGTGTATCATGACATAAACTGGGAGAATCATTTACCGGGAAGCAGCACCGTCCAATAAGGCAGCTCATTTAATTATGCAGTAACACTGACCTAAAGCTGCAGTTGGAGCAGAGAATACGTGAAGCAGGATCTCTTTTGCAGGGCCAGCGTTAAAACCCGGGTACCACACTATGGAATTTACTAACCAAAGGCATGAACCTGGAGCAGGACAGCTCCTTGGACCATTGGTCACAGGCACCCATGCCAGCAAGCACAAGGGACTGAAGTAATTGAGTCAGACTTGGGTGCTGCATTTGTCTCCTGACAAAAACAGCCAGAGAAGCAGAATGAAGAACCAAATGGCAAAATAGTGTTTGGTCTCTCTGTGAGGAACCCACGTTTCCACGATCCACTTTGTTATTCTGGACTTTGTGCTGCCACATATTACTGAGTAAAGGGAGTATAAAGGAAATCTCCTCCTACCACCTTCCCAAGAAAACTCTTCTCCTGTGTGTCACAGGAAAAATAATAATGCATATTCCTGATATTTTAGAGTTAACTCACAACTGAGAAGACTGTCATAGTGAAGCATGTTTCTTCTAAAACTGCAGTCAGAGACTGCAGACAGAGCTCTTCACCCATGTTTGGCTTTGCCAGGGACACATACACATATAACAGACATATACATATTAACAAGACATATATATATACACATATATATCTATACATATATATATATATGTATTAACCATTGCTCAGTAAGAACTGACAGCGGTGCACTGAACAATTTTTGTTGGTTTTCCCAGCACTGCAAGAACACATTAATGCTCCCCAGAAACTGGCTGGTAATAAAGCAAATAGCATGAGTGGTACAGGTTTTTGGCTACAGTGCCACAGAACTGAGATTAATAGCAACATGTACCCTTGATCATCCCCTACGTTAAGTGAGTCTCTTGTCAGCCAGTAAACTGCCTGATACTTAACCTCTGTATTTCCTGAGGATTTATTCTTTACAAATAAATTGGGTTTTATTGAATGAGCCTCAGAGAGCTCCTTCCTGACCTTTCCTTGCTGGTTGTGAGAAGGTTGAGAGCCTAGTGACATAAACCTGAAGTTTCAAAAAAGACTAATAAGATGCAGACAGCCCCAGTATAAGCAAAGCCCTGCAGCTGAGCTTGAATTTCTTCTGGCATGTGTACTGAAGAAGTGTCCAGTCTCAGCATCCCTATGCTTTTTCAGTCTTTGGGTCTTTTGAGACTCCAAACAAGAGGTCTGTTAATTCATGTTATGGCAGTTTTCATACAAAGACATCTGTCCACCAGGAACTAAACTTCTTTTATATGGGTGACTATAGCTATCAGAAGTTAATGACTATCAATCATTGCTAATCTGAACTGAAATGGAGCCACTGACCTCAAGCTGAAAGAGCCTTTTGTCTCCTACCAGCACCATGAGCCATATGGTTTCCTGCCCTTTGCCTCTTATTTCATATTTTAAATAATCATCACTAATTGTACAATTGTTTGAAAATATGGGAGGTTTGTGTCCAGCCATGACCAAGTGGTGTTCTTTCTTCCCATAGCTGTCACTTAATTGAAGAGAAGGGATCTACTTAAAATTAAAGAATAAAAAAGCATCTCTTAATGAAGTATTAGCCCTGCTATTTGATTATTGGTCCTGCTTCTTAATATTCTGTCAAGTAGAATGTAAATAATCCTGCAGGCTTCAAAAACTAAAAGCTTCCAAAGTGTCAAGGTCATTCTTGTTCTATATGGGAGTAATAAGAAAATTATATAGGCAAGACACCAATGGAATGTTTTATATTAGGATAAACAAGTATCTGAGGAACCTACTTATCATAAGTCTCTTTTTATTCAGTGGTTTTCATTATTTTATATCATTTGCATTTCATCTGGCACAGTTCCCCTTTACAACAAGTACTCATATATTGCAAACATTTGATTATAGCGCTTAAGATAACACCATTCTTGTCAGACAAATAAACTGCATCACCAGCTATCTTTAGCTGCATCTGCTTTCTTTAATGAAACATATTTTCCTGTAGAAATGCTGCCTTAAAAATCATGACCACACTAATTATCTATGGCAAGCACATCTTCCTCAACTAACGACAGCTCGAGCATATTATCATTTGCTCCAGACTTCATTCTAAAATTGAAAGATCCATACAGCTTGGCAGACTCCTTGGAGGATGCAAACCTGCTCCTCCGGTACAGCTCCCCTTTCCACATGGACATCATCAGCAGGCTGGAGAGCACCACGCCCCCCAGGGTTAAGAGACACAGCCCAGCGATAACACAGCGGTCCAAGTGAGCACCGATCCTTGCGCTCTCGATCTCCAGCCTCTCCATCTCCCGGGCAGCCACAGTGTTGGGATCCACAGTCACATCTCTGGGTACCACGTAGGAAATTATCACCAGCAAAATGCCACTAACCAGGAACAAAATGGCACTAATGAATCCATAGTCAACAGATTTCCCAGCTGCTGCCTCCGAGGCAGCATCATCCTCCTCGGAGACCAAGGAAGGAGAATCGTGCGCCCATTCAGGTGGCAGCTCCCTGCAGGAATGATGCTGCAGAGGAGCATCCTGGCCACCTGTAGGACTGGGGGGACTTCTTGCATGCTCCAGATTTACATTTTCATCCACATAGGTGAACGATGTCTCAAGTTCCTGGGCACAGCAGCAGGCTTTCTTCTTCCCTCCATCCTCTTCCCCAGGCAAGCACTCGGCTGGGTGGCAGGGCTGGGACGTGCTGGAGAGGGCAGGGTGCTCCTGGGGCGAGCTGCCCAGGGAGGAGGGCTGGGGTGCCAGGGGGGGCTCAGCCACACGACCCCTCTGCAAGGGCTTGCAGTGCCGTTCACAGTGCAGGGCTGCCACAGCAGTGGCTGCTCTGGGGTCCACCTCACCCCCCTCACACTGCTGCTGCTCGTAGGGATGGGGAGGCAGGCTCCAGCCAGTAGCGGTGACCAGGGGCACCTGTCTGCTCTCCTCGGCCAGGTAGAGAAGCTCCATGCAAGCCATCGACCTCGTCCTCACGAGCGTCACCTCCTGGGCTATGGCATCCTCCAGCAAATGCTGCTCCTGACCTGCAGAAGCAGCTTCACAGTACTGGCGCTGCTGTATCCCAGAAATCTTCTTCACCACTTTTTCACCAACGTTTTGTTAGGGACATGGTTTGTGTCAGCTGTTAAATGATTAAACAAATCCTCTCTGACATTCATTTCTTTTCGGTCTGCAAATGAAACAGCAGAGGGGGAAAAAACAACAACAACAAAACCGAACCCGACAACCTCACAATGATACATTAATAAACCAAAGGGAAGATAACGCAAATGTAATACATCAGCCCTCCTCTCAACTGTTTGAGGGGAGATGGCAAACATGATTGTTTTAACCACGCATTTAAAACTGCAATCCTCTTGCAGATCCAAAATCTATTAGGGAATCTAATCAACCTTTGACACCACTATCCAATTAAGGCAGTATGCAGAAAGCACGGGATAACCAGAAAAACTGTGTAAAATGTCAGAGAAAATAAATGTCTGTTCTTTTAGAAGCACGTAACTCCCATCCCCCCCTTCCAAATAAAGAATTTTACACTCAGATTCACAGACTAATTAGAAAGAAACACACAAATCCCATGTAGCTCAATAATCCAGGATCTGTATTCTCCGGTGGAAATCTGATAATCCTATGGGAAAAGCAGTGCTTTCCTATATAAGATCTACCATTCATCTAAGAGCTTTTGGAATGAAATTATGCCTCGAAGACTGATGACTCAAAGACGGATATTACTTCTCATCTGCAATTAATTCGTCATTACCCCCTTCGCCTGGGCCCCATCCCCCTCGAGGCCGCCCGGTGTCACGGGGCGAAGCCCGCAGCCCGACAAATGTGTTGCATGCGTAGGAAACACATGTGCGTCTATAGCACATACGTGATCGCTCACAGCCGCTGCTCACTCACGCTCTTCTCGGGACCTCAGCGAGAACCGGCCGCGCTGGGAAAAGCGATTCCCGCCGGCGCCGGGAGTAGCTGGATCCACCCGCCACCGAGTGACCCGAGCGATACCGAGGTGAGCGGCGCGCAGACACGCACAGGCACACACGCATCCCCGGCGGGCAGGAGCACGCCGCCTCCTCCTGCTCCTGCTCCTCCTCCTCCCGCTGCTCCTCCTCCTGCCCGCGGGGCTCTCACCTGCCCGGCGCGGCGCCGGTCCCCGCACGCACGCATGGACACACGGACACACGGACACACTCACCTTCCTCCCGCCCGCCTCCGCCACCGGCCGCGCCCCCGCCCGCGCTGCTCCCAGCGACCCCGGGCGGCCCGGCCCGGCCCGGCCCGGCCCGGCCCGGCCCAAAACTGCCACAACATGCCTTCCTTCACACCTTTTTCCCTGGGACCAGCCCTAGCCCTAGACTGATTTCATGCCTAGGCCGAGGGTTAGGCCTAGGGCTCGGCACGCCGGGAGCTGTAGTCCGCGGGCGGCGGCGCTGCTGCGGCAGCGCCCGGAGCCGCGCCCGCCCCGCGGTCCCCGGGGCTCGGCCGCTGGCTGCGGGTCGCGCTGGCAGGGCTGCAGCCACCGGAGAGCCCCTCCGAGTGCCCGATCCTGGCTAGGGGACGGACAGGAGCGTCCCTGCAGCCTTATGCGTGCGTCTAGCTCAGTCATCACCCGGAGTTGTTTTCCATAGTCCTGGGAGCTCACGACTTACTCCAGGGAAAGATAAAATCAGATTCTCAGGTGATCCCAGAACTGCTGGAGCGACACGTCAAGGGACGTACTCTCTGTGTAAGATGTACTGGAAAATCTCAGGAGCTCACCCGTGCTGGCAGATTGTCCACGCACTTCCTCTGGCCGGCATAAATAACTATTAAAAAAAAGACTGTTGCCAAAAAATACATAATAAATGAATGACCGTTTCATTTTCAGTATGAACCTTCACTGCGTTTTCTTGCCAATGCGTTTCCTTTGCCAGTGTTAGTGATAAACTAGAATATGAAAATAAAGTGTGGAGTAGTCTGAATGGAAGGTTTATCAGAGCTGAATTCTGTGCTGTTGTGGAGAGACTGGGCTCTGGGGAGACAAAAAGCAAGCATGGGCAGAGGCACCTTTGTCACGGAGCTGAAATGTGGGTACACACAGGAATTAGAAGTGAGCAGCACCTGCCTGCATGGCTGTTGGGCAGGAAAGCAGAGGCTCAAGATGAAAAGTGAGCTGGGGAGGAACCAGAGACAAACACAGACTGTCTGAAGGAGTTGGCCTAACATCAGAGAGCAAGGTCATTCTCTGTAAGGACTCTTTGCCAGTTCTGAAGCAATGCATTAGGCAAATCAGTTTTGAAGACCTGTCCTGCTGAGACCCAAAACACCCAGCACAGAAGATTCAAATCTTAGTGGGAATAACTTCCATGAATGTCAAAATTACTTGCCGGGACATGGCAACAGTAGAGCACTCAGTGCCCGTCACACAGATTGTTCAGTGCTCTGGGGTGCTTTGGATATAATTTCAAAGCAGCTCCAGCCCCTGTTCCCATTAGCAAAGTGCAGTTTTAATGCATGAATAGTGTATTATTCACCCTTTGAAGAAAAATTGTAGGGAGAAAATTATGGAGTTGGGAAAATGGTGCAGGCTGTCCTTGGAGCTTTTTAATAACAGTGCTCTCTTTGAGGTAAATATAAAGGAGCAAATAAAACCTAATCAAAGAAACAAAAAAAGCCTATCTGTAAATTGTTCAAATAGTTTCAAGTAAAAGTAAAGACAGAAACAAACTCTCTTTAAGTCTCTTGTACATTTTCATTTGGGAATTAGCAGGATAGGAATATACAGATGTTGGGCACTGACACTGCAAGCTGCACCTGCTGCATCCAATAGACGAATCTTAATTAAATGATTGACAGGAAAAAATATGGTGCTCAGCCCTGGCAATGCAACCTGGAAGAGTGCGAACACCTTTCCTGGGCCCTGGCACAGCCTACCAAGTCCTTGGGTGGGCATTGTCCTTCTAACAGCTGATAGAAAGGCAGGAAATTGTCTGCACACAACAAATGGCCATGTTGTCGTTCCTTCAAAACGCGGGAGCTACAGCATGTACTCTTGAGCACTTACCAGAGCCTTAGTTTCTCGTTATTTAACCACACAAACATCTTGCTGCTCTGCCGCCCACTCTCCTCCCTGTTTTGTGCCAGTGTGTGTTGGGCAAGTGTATTAATTTGTTGCTGATAATTGCAGTCCCACAAACTATGGAGCAAACAGAGGGAACCACAACTCTGTCAAGCCAAGTGTTGTCTATTCTTATGTGCCATCCCATGCGTGTCTCATTTGCCTAGTGCAATTCACTCTTAGAGTGAAATCACTGTCTAGTCACAATTCATATTACTGACATTTCATTTTCTTCACTTTGGATGCAATGAGTTAACAGCATTTTCTTGTAACAAATGTGATTGTTGCCAATGCTTTGAGGTGTGGAGGTGGTGAAATGAATGCATAGCAACGCATACTCTGCAAACACAAGTACAGCTGGTGAAAAGATTAATCAAGTACGGGCGGGAGTAAGAATATTTGTCACAGGGAGAAAAGTGGCTACGTAGAGCTAAAAGCGAGAGTGATGGACACACAATGGGACAGGAATAAAAGACTGGAGTAGACTGTCAGGGTGGATGAGCCTTGTTCTCTCTGCTCTAGCCTACCACATAATACAGCCCTTTCAGACACTGAGCAGGGCTATGGTAGCAACACAGTGATAATATGGAATCTGACAGTCAGCTGATAAAGGTGTCTCAGTTGACATACATGCAATTAAATTTCAGCCATGCTCTGGAGCATCCTGTAAGCTCTCTTCAAGTTGGCCCAGCTAGAAATGAGTATGTGAACTAGATGTATATGGTTTCTTCCCATTCTCAGTAACCTATGGTCACCATAAAACTGTAAGGAGGCTTGTGAGGAACTAAAGGTTATTTCACACTTTATGTTTGAAGCCTCACTGAGGGCCTGACCAGACCTGAAGGCTTTATAGGAACCAGGCAAAACTGGAACAAGTTTTCTGAATGATCTACTAGAGGATGGGTTTTGGGATATTCTACTTGCTATCACCAGTTCAGGGTGTTTTCCAGTGTTATATGGGATACTCAGTGAAGCATTCCTCCAAACATTTTTATTCTTTTTTTTTCCTCTCTGTCTTATAACATGTATACAGAGTTCTTCAATGATCTCGTTTTCACAGAATCTTCAATTCATTGCCTTGCACAGTCACAGGACCTTGGATTTCCAGTGGTCCTTGTGCAAGTGTTGCAAGACTGCAGAGCTTCTGAAATAAAGGGGCACTCCAGCCAGTGTGGCTCAGAGAATAATACATTCAGAGAAGTCTAGAGAGAATATTGCATAAACTTCCCATTTCCACTTGAATAAATCATACTGTTGAGTAAAGTAAATTGGCTAGGGAGCCAATAACATGGGGCTGAAGAAAAATTTAAAACCTATTAGAGAAATATATGGACCTGTGTACTGGTCTGTGAAAAATAACAAAGGTAATAGATGGGAATGAAGAGGCAAGGCTAAGTTTATATGTAAATTGCAGAAGAAAAAAGTGATACAATTCTTTTTTTGGCTTAGACAATATAAGTATTCTGAGGCTAGCAAGCAAATATTTGGACAACTCACTATAAAAATAAAAATTCACCATATCTGTGTGTTCAAAACACATTGCTGTCACAGATCAATAAATGCCACAGATTAATAAAGCAAAAGTAGACAGGAAAGCAATTCTGCTTTGGTTGATTCACTAATGCACATCCATTGTGCATTAATAAAAGACAAAATAAGTAAATAATTTTACAGAGATACAAGAAACCATAGATGTGTGATGTGATGTTCCAGAATTGCCACAAGTAGATTAAATCCTTGAAAAAGCCCTATGTTTCTCATGTCTGTACACATGAAATCATGGATTGGGTAAATAGAGCTGCTGAGGATAAACAAAAAAAGTCAATCTTGGCCTTAGAGCGGAGGATCATCTGGAGGAGCAAAGGGCCTGTTGACCATTTGGAAGACACAGTAGTTGTAGCCCCACTCAGGAGCTAGTGAGGGACAGGTAGGAATTAATGAGCTGTCAGGCTGAAGTCTGCTTCTGGCACAGCACCTGTGGAGCCTTTACTGGCCTTCACTCACCAGGAGGGAAAGGGCCAGGTCTGGATGTCCCAGGGCTGCTGTTTCCCAGCTGCTATGCCCA